TGAACATTTCTTCATGTGCTTGTTGGCCATCTGAATGTCTTCTTTGGTGAAGTGTCTGTTCATATCCTGTGCCCATTTTTCAATTGGATTATTTACCTTTATCTTGTTGTGGTGCTCATGTTCTTTTAAATTATTTTTACAATAAAATATTTAGACTTAAATCTAACAAAGCAAGTACAAGACTTGACATGCTCAAAAGTCACCAAAAACATTATTAAATGCTGCTGGAAAATAAACAACAATGGTTTAAATAAGTGGAGAGACAAACTAAGCTTTTGGATCAAAAGACTCAACATTGCAACAAAGAATGAATACTTTTTTTAAAATTTTATTTTATTATTTTTGTGTAAGTGTACCGTCAAATCAGATCTGACTGGTACAGGAGGAGATTGTCCCTCCTTCCCCGGCAGAGCATCTGGTGGATTCGAACCGTGTGCCTCTGGGATTGTTGTTGCAGCTCCTTACCACTAGGCCACCAGAGCTCCCCTGAATGAATACTTTTTTAAAAAGTGGCCTGGGGGAAGGGAAAGTGGGGTAAAATGTGCAACAATGAATGAATGAAAATCTAACTTCTCTATAAACATTCATTAAAATCACAATTAAAATAAAATTTTATTTAACAAAAAAAGACCCAACATATCAGTTCTCTCCAAACTTATAAATAGGTTTAATACAATTCCTATTAAAACCCCAGCAGACTCTTTTGTAGATATGTAATTATTGTTATGTGCCATCAAGTCAACCTATGACTCTTAGCAGATCTGAACCCTGTCGTATCCTGTGCTACCCTCATCGTCTCTGATATACTTGAGCCCATTGTTATAGTCACTATCTTGACCCACCTTGTTGAAGGCTTTCCTCTCTTGAGCTGACCCTCCACCTTGCCCAAGCATAATGCTTTTTCTTTTTTGCTTTGTTTTGGTTTTATTATTATTATTTTAATTATTTATTTATTATTTTAACGAAAATTTACAGAGACTTTGGATTTCCACTCATTCATTGTTGCACTTTTCTCCCTGCCCACCCCTCCCCCTAGTTCACTCTTCTCTTTGAAAAGTAAAGAAAAATTCTTTCTTTGTTATACAATCCCACCCCCCAAGTCCACTCCACTATGCAGTGGACTTCATCCTGGACTCCTGTCATGACAATAATACCTACTCATATATGCCTTTTAAACAGTTCTCTCCCTCATCTGTTCCAATCATAATGCCTTTTTCTAAGGACTGACTACTCCTAACAATATTTCTAAGGTATGTGAGAGGGAGTTTCATCATCCTTCTAAGATGATTCCAAAATTCACATAGAAAGGCAAAGAAATTAAATAATTTTGAAAAGGAATAAAGTCTTCTAAGCCACAGAGAGAGAACAAGATGGTGAAAGAAAGAATGGCAGAGGAAGAGACAAAGAACAAGAAAGCACAGTAGAACATGCTCCTTGTCTACTAATAGCCTTCAGCTACAGCAAGGCTCAGGCTGTGGGCAGGGTCTCCTTCCTGGGCTTCTCCTTCTTTTCTTTTTTTTT